CCTCCCCTTCCTCCGGGGCCTGCCCCCACCTGTGTTCCCTGTGTCGAGGGCCGGCAGCGCGCCGCTCCTCACTCCTCCTCGTTCCCTCCGACTGAGGCTCCTCTGCAGACTCTTCACATGGACGTGTGGGGCCCAGCCCGCGTCCGTGGACAGGGTCACGAGCGTTACTTCCTGCTGGTCGTTGACGACTACTCGCGTTACACCACAGTCTTCCCCTTGTGCAGCAAGGGTGAGGTCCCTGAGGTGTTGATCGACTGGATCCGCGGTGCTCGTCGCCAGCTCAGTGAGAGTTTTGGCTCGGACCTTCCTGTTCTGCGTCTGCACTCCGACAGAGGTGGGGAGTTTTCCTCCGACCTCCTGAGGGCCTTCTGTCGTTCGGAGGGCATCCGCCAGACGTTCACGCTTCCGGCCTCCCTGCAGCAAAATGGGATTGCTGAGCGCCGCATTGCCATGGTCATGGACGTCGCTCATACGTCCATGATCCATGCGGCTGCTCCCCATTTTCTGTGGCCGTTCGCGGTTCAGTACGCTGCGCATCAGATCAACCTTCAGCCTCGTGTCTCCTTGCCGGAGACCACACCTACTCTGCGGTGGACGGGGAAGGTTGGCGATGCGTCCGCGTTCCGTGTCTGGGGATCTCGAGCTTTTGTCCGCGATACTACAACGGACAAGCTGTCCTCCCGTGCCGTTCCCTGTGTCTTCCTTGGCTTCCCTCCTGACGCACCCAGGTGGCAGTTCTACCACCCCACCTCGCGTCGTGTTCTGTCCTCTCAGGACGTCACGTTTGATGAGTCGGTGTGTTACTACCGTCTCTTTCACTACCGCACTGCCTCTCCCCCTCCCCCGCCGCTCTTCCTAGCACCAGGTACTCCCTCGGTAGACCCCCTCCCCCCCCAGGGTCCTGCCCCCTCAGGTGTGTCCCAGGTAGACCCTGCTGAGCCGGTCGAGGTAGCTGTCGACTCAAGTGCTACTAGGGGTGCTGAGCCTGCGGGTGCGGGGACTGGGGGTGCCGAGCCTGGGGTTTCTGTGTCTGGGGGTGCTGCGTCTGGGGGTGCTGAGCCTGGCCGTGTGGAGCCTGAGGGTACTGCGTCTGGAGGTGCTGCGCCTTCGCGTGCTGAGTCTGGCGGTACTCTAGGGGTCCCGTCGCGGCGGGAGCCCCTCTCTCCACAGCAGCTTCGTGACTGGTACTCTCGGCGCTGTCGAGGAGCAGCTTGTGCTGGAGGTGCTGCTAGGGCTGCTGGTGGTGCTGGTGGTGCTACTGGTGCTGGGGCTGCTGCTGGAGGTGCTACTAGGGCTGCTGGTGGTGCTGCTGGTACTGCTGGAGCTGCTGGAGGCGCTGCTGGTGCTGGAGGTGCTGCTCGGGCTGCTGGAGTTGCTGATGCTGCTAGAGCTGCTGGAGGTGCTGCTGGTGCTGACGCTGCTGGTGGTGCTGCTGGTGCTGGAGGTGCTGCTAGTGCTGGTACTGGAGGTGCTGCTGGTGCTGGAGCTGCTGGAGGTGCTGCTGCTGCTGGTGCTGCTGGAGCTGCTGGAGGTGCTGCTGGGACTGGAGACCCTGGGGCTGAGGGTACCGGTTCTGTCTCTGCTGTTTCTGGAGGCGCTGCGCGGCCGCGGCCGTACTACGTTCCGCTCCTTCAGCATGTTCTTGGCTCTCCGCCTTCTCCTGGTCCTCCTCCTCCTTTCCTGAGTCCACTACCTGGTCCTTCTCCTTACTCTGGACCGACTAGAGGTCTTACGGAGCGTCGTGAGCCTGAGTCGCGTCCTGTGTCGCCTGAGTCTCGTTCTGCGTCGCCTGTCCGTACTGTTCGCGCTGGTCGTGTTTCGCGTCCGCGTCCTCCTCCTGTCCCTGGCACTCACTCTATGACTCTGCGTCCTTCCACTGCTCCACAGCGTGTCCCTCTGCCGTCTCCTCCTGCGTCCTCTCTTCCTCCTGGTCCGGACCCTGCGTCTGACTCCCTACGTGCTGCTAGTCCAGCTGTCACGCGTTTTCTGGCCACTGCTGTCATTGACCCTTTGTTTGAGTCCACTGCTGCGTCTGCTCTCGTTGCTGAGCTTGTTGACTTTGCTGCCGCCTATCGCCTAGACTTCGCCACTAGTCTTGTTGCTGAGTCTGCGTCTGCGTCTGTCTGTCCTCCGTCCGTCGGGGGTGAGTGTGCTCTTGGCACGGACGTTCTTGAGGACAGACAGGAGGAGTTTGAGTGCTTTGCCGCTGCTGTACCTCATCTCGTGTCCATGCTGCTTGCCCCTGAGGGAGACCCGGATGCACCAGACATCCCGACCCCGCGCTCTTACGCAGAGGCGATAGAGGGTCCCTACTCCTTTCAGTGGCAGGCAGCCATGGACGCCGAGATGGCTTCCTGGAAGTCTACAGGCACCTACGTCGACGAGGTTCCCCCACCTGGGGCGAACATCGTCAGTGGCATGTGGATCTTCAGGGTGAAGCGGCCGCCGGGTTCTCCGCCTGTCTTCAAGGCGCGTTACGTTGCACGTGGCTTCAGTCAGCGACAGGGAGTTGACTTCTTCCAGACCTTCTCCCCTACCCCGAAGATGACCACTCTTCGGGTACTGCTGCACGTAGCTGCTCAGCGTGACTACGAGCTCCACTCGCTTGAATTCAGCACAGCCTTCCTACAGGGCAGCCTGCACGAGGAGATCTGGCTGCGCCGCCCACCTGGCTTCACTGGGTCGTTTCCTGCTAGTACCCAGTGGAGCCTCCGCCGGCCAGTCTACGGTCTCCGCCAGGTACCCCGTGAGTGGCACGACACTCTGAGGACCACTCTTGCTACTCTTGGTTTTGCTCCTTCCACTGCTGACCCTTCTCTGTTTCTAAGCATTGACACCACTCTGCCGCCGTTCTACGTTCTCGTGTACGTAGACGACCTTGTCTTTGCTACTGCTGACACTGAGGCACTCGCCCACGTGAAGTCCGAGCTACAGAAGAGACACACGTGCACCGACCTGGGGGAGCTGACAAGCTATCTTGGCTTGCGGATCACCCGGGACAGAGCACATCGCACCATTACCTTGACTCAGTCACACATGGTGCAGCAGGTCCTTCAGCGCTTCGGCTTCACGTACTCCTCGCCACAGTCCACTCCTCTGCCTACCGGTCACTCGCTCTCAGCTCCACCTTCGGACGAGTCCGTAGAGCCGAGTGGCCCGTATCCAAAGCTTGTGGGCTGCCTCATGTACCTGATGACTTGCACACGACCTGACCTCGCATACCCTCTCAGCCTTCTGGCTCGCTACGTGGCTCCCGGTAGGCACCGAAAGGTGCACTGGGATGCTGCAAAGAGGGTGTTGCGCTACTTGTGCAGTACATCGGGCATGGGGCTCGTGCTTGGAGGACGGGCTCGAGTTGTCCTCACTGGTCACGCTGACGCCTCCTGGGTTGACGACTTGGCTACGCAGCGGTCGTCACAGGGTTACACCTTCAGTCTTGGCTCCGGTTCTGTCTCTTGGCGGTCTACCCGCTCTTCTTCTGTTCTCAGCTCCAGTTGTGAGGCTGAGATCTACGCTGGGGCCATGGCTGCACAGGAGCTACGCTAGCTCACCTACCTGCTGACCGACTTGGGAGAGGCGCCTCGTTCTCCTCCAGTTCTGTACGTTGACAACAAGGCCATGTTGGCCTTGTGTCAGGAGCACAGACTGGAGCACAGAACGAAGCACATTGCTCTGCGCTACTTCCTTGCTCAAGAGTTGCAGCAGCGTGGCCAGCTTCGTCTTGCTTACGTGGCCTCACAGGCCAACACTGCTGATGTTTTCACCAAGGCACTTCAGCCTTGTGATCATCAGCGTTTCTGTACTGTTCTAGGCCTTGTACCTACTGTGCCTCACTTGCTGACTTCTTGACTCTACTTATACCTGCATGCTTACACTTGCTAGGTTGTGTTCACTGTATTGTTTGCTTTCCTTTATATAACTCTGCATGTGAACTGGCCTTGTGGCCCTTTGCTTGTTCTCAGACTGCGTGGTGACTTTGTGATCCACCCTGAGCTTGCTTTGCCTTCTTGACTGGTCTTGTGACCCCTTGTTCTCCCCCACTTTGCCTATGGGGGTGTGTCAAACTTATGTATGCTATAGTCTGTTTAGGCTGTAGTGGGGTAGTTCTTATAGGGTACAACACTTTTAGGTTTCCTACTTGTACCCACCTGCTTCCTAGTTCATTCATTCCTCTCATTATTCTCACATATATCACAGTACAAGCAAAGTCACGCAGTGAGCAAGTGAGGCAAAGTAGGCACAAGGCCTAAAACAGTACAGAAACGCTGATGATCACCAGACTGAAGTGCCTTGGTGAATATATCAGCACTGTTGGCCCGAGTGGCCACGTACGCAAGACGAAGCTGACCATGCTGCTGCAACTCTCGGGCAAGGAAGTATCGCAGAGCGATGTGCTTCGTTTTGTGCTCCAGTCTCTGCTCCTGACACAAGGCAATCATGGCCTTATTGTCTACGTACAGCACTGGAGGAGAACGAGGCCGCTCTCCCAAGTCGGTCAGCAGGTAGATGAGCCAGCGTAACTCCTGTGCAGCCATGGCCCCTGCATAGATCTCAGCCTCACAACTGGAACTGAGAACAGAAGACGAGCGAGTAGACCGCCAAGAAATAGAGCCGGAGCCAAGGTTGAAAGTGTAACCCTGTGACGACCGCTGCGTAGCCAAGTCATCAACCCAAGAAGCGTCTGCGTGTCCAGTGAGGACAACTGGACCCCGTCCTCCAAGCACGAGCCCCATGCCCGACGTACTGCACAACTAGCGCAACACCCTCTTAGCGGCCTCCCAATGCTCTGGTCGGTGTCTCCCGGACACAACGTAGCGTGCCAGGATGCTAAGAGGGTAGGCAACGTCAGGTCGTGTGCACGTCATCAGGTACATGAGGCAACCCACAAGCTCTGGATACGGACCACTCGGCTGTACGGACTCGTTTGAAGGTGGAGCTGAGAGCGAGTGACCGGTAGGCTGAGGAGTGGACTTGCGCGAGGAGTACCGGAAGCTGAAGCGTTAAAGGATTTGGTGCACTATGTGTGACTGAGTCAGGGTGATGGTGCGCCGTGCTCTGTCCTGGGTGATCTGCAAGCCAAGATAGCTGCGCAGCTCACCCAGGTCAGTGCAGGTGTGTCTCTTCTGCAGCTCCGACTTCACAAGGGCCAGTGCCTCAGTGTAAGCAGTGGGAAAGACCAAGTCGTCGACGTACACGAGGACGTAGAACGGCGGCAGCGAAGTGTCGGTTCGTAGAAACAGCGACGGGTCAGGAGTCGAAGGAGCGAACCCAAGAGCCGCAAGTGTCGTCCTCAGTGTGTCGTGCCACTCGCGAGGCGCCTGACGGAGACCGTAGACTGGCCGCCGGAGGCTCCACTGGGTACTTGCAAGAAACGACCCAGTGAAGCCAGGTGGGCGGCGCAGCCAGATCTCCTCGTGCAGGTTGCCCTGCAAGAAAGCTGTGCTGAAGTCAAGAGAGTGAAGCTCGTAGTCACGCTGAGCTGCGACGTGCAGCAACACCCGAAGAGTGGTCATCTTCGGGGTAGGGGAGAAGGTATGGAAGAAGTTAACTCCCTGTCGCTGACTGAAGCCTCGTGCAACGTAACGAGCCTTGAAGGCAGGCGGAGAACCCGGCGGCCGCTTCACCCTGAAAATCCACATGCCATCGAATATGTTTGCCCAAGAAGGGGGAACCTCGTTGACGTAGGTGCCTGTGGAATTCCAGGATGCCATCTCTGCGTCCATGGCTGTCTTCCTGTGAGAGGAGCAGGGACCCGTAATCGCCTCTGCGTAAGAGCGCGGGGTCAGGATGTCTGGTGCATCCGGGTCTCCCTCAGGGGCAAGCAGCATGGCCACGAGATGAGGTACAGCTGCTGCAAGACACTCAAAATACTCCTGCCTGTCCTCAAGGACGTCCGTGCCAAGAGCACACTCACCCCCGACGGATGGAGGATAGGCGGACTTAGACTCAGCAACAAGAGCAATGGCGTAGTCGAATCGACAAGTGGCAGCAAAGTCAACAAGCTCAGCAACCAGGGCAGACGCAGCAGTGGCTGAAAAGAAGGGTCGGTGACAATAGCGGCGAGAAGACGAGGGACAGGGGGACTAGCAGCACGAGCTAGGTAGGAATCAGGGTCAGGAACGGCAGGAAGAGAGGACGCAGGAGGAGGCCGCAGGTGTGCTCGCAGTGGCACAGAGGAAGGACGAAGTGCCATAACGTGTGTGCCTGGGACAGGAGGAGGACGAGGACGAGGAACACGACGACTAGTGCGAACAGCGCGAACAGGTGAGGCAGGACGAGACTCAGGCTCACTATGCCTAAAAGAGTCTGTAAAAGAGTCTGGCTGCTTAGCGTAAGGAGAAGGAGCAGGCAGTGGGGAGTCTGGCTGTAACTCTGGCTGTGACCGGCGAGGCGGGGGACTCAGTAAGCTAGGAGGAAGGCCAGTAGAAGACGGGAGGCTAAGAACCTGGAAAAGGACCGAGTCAGGTGGCGGCAGAGACAACGGAGGCGGCAAAACAAAAAACGGGTGCCGCTGCACAGTGCCTCCAGTACCAGTACCGCCAGCTCCAGTACCCCCAGCGCCAGCACCTACAGCTCCAGGGTCAAGAGCTCCTGTGCCTCCAGTGCCAGTGCCTCCAGCTCCAGCGCCTCCAGCTCCAGGGTCTCCAGCTCAAGCTCCTCCAGCTCCAGCGCCGCTAGCGCCAGTGCCTCCAGATCCAGTGCCTCCAGCTCCAGCACCTCCAGCGCCAGGGTCTCCAGCTCTAGCTCTTCCAGCTCCAGCGTTGCCAGCGCTAGTGCCTCCAGCTCCAGCTCCTCCAGCTCCAGCGCCGCCAGCGCCAGTGTCTCCAGCTCCAGCGCCTCCAGCGTTAAGGTCTCCAGCTCCAGCGCCTCCAACACCACCAGCCCCGGCAGCTCCAACACCTCTTGTACGAGCACCTCCAGGACCAGTAGCACCAGCACCTCCTGTACCCCCAGCTCCAGCAGGAACTCTAGCACCTCCAAGACGAGTAGCTCCAGTACCTCCAACTCCAATGCCACCAGCGGCAGAGCCTCTAGCTCCGGCGGCTCCACTCCTAAGGCGAGTGCGCTGAGCAAACCACTCGCGCAGCTGCGGCGCGGAGAGAGGCTCCTGCCGGGGAGACAGTCGTGGCGAGGCACTCGCAGGACCTCAAGCAGACACAGTACCCCTGCGCGCAGCACCCCCAGACTCCGCACCCTCAGACTCAGCACCCCCAGGCTCCGCACCCGCAGGCTCAGCACCCCTAGGCTCCACACTCGCAGGCTAAGAACCCCCAGACGCAGCACCCCCAGACGCAGCACCTCTAGCAGCACCTGAGTCTACAGCGACCTCGACAGGCACAGTCCCGGGGAGTGGGTCTACCTGAGACACACTTGAGGGAGCAGGACCCTGAGGGGGGAGGGGGTCTACCGGAGGGGGACCTGGAGCAAGGAAGAGTGGCGGGGGTGGGAGAGGGGCAGAGCGGTAGGGGAAGAGACGGTAAAAGGGAACTGACTCGTCAAATGTGACGTCTTGAGAGGGAAGGACACGGCGCGAGATGGTGTGGGAAAACTGCCAGCAAGGCACATCAGGGGGAAAGCCAAGGAAGACGCAAGGAATAGCGCAAGAGGAGAGTTTGTCCGCGGAAGTATCGCGGACAAAGGCACGAGAGCCCCAGACCCGGAACACCGATGCATCGCCAACCTTTCCCGTCCAACGCAGTGTGGGCGAGGTCTCCGGCAAGGAGACACGGGGCCAGAGGTTGAGCTGATGCGCAGCGTACCGGACCGCAAACGACCACAGAAAATGGGGAGCAGCCGCATGGATCATGGAGGTACGAGCCACCTCCATGACTAAGCCAATGCGGCACTCAGCAATCCCATTTTGCTGCGGTGAGGCCGGAAGCGTGAACGACTGGAGGATGCCCTCCCCACGACAAAAGTCCCGCAAGAGGTTGGAGGAGAACTCACCACCTGTGTCAGAGTGCAGACGCACGACAGGAAGGTAATCGCGGAACCGCTCGCGGAGCTGAAGACGGACTGCGCAGATCCAAGGGATCAAGACATCAGGGGCCTCACCCTTGCTGCGCAAGGGGAAGACCGTGGTATAATGCGTGTAGTCGTCAACAACCAGCAGAAAGTACCGCTCGCGGCCCTGTCCACAGACGCGGGCTGGGCCCCACACGTCCATGTGGAGAGTCTGTAGGGGAGCAATCGACGGGGGAAACGAGGAGTGAGGAGCGGCGCGCTGCCGCCCTTCGATGCAAGGAAGGCAGGGCGGGGCAGGCGAGGGCGGGAGGGGAGGCAGAGACCTGGGAAGACCAGAGTCAAGGAGGCGGGAGTGCATGCCACGAAGGCATGGCAAGGAGGGGTGACCAAGGTGGTGGTGCCAAAGGAGAGTCTGGTCCAAGAGGAGGCGACACGCGCAGGGGGGTGCTACCGGACCTGACGCGGACACCTGGGCAGACGCAGCTACCTGAGGAGGCTCGGTAGCCAGTGTGTACAGACTCGACCTAGGCCGACGAGTGAACGTGGCTAGGTGACGGCCCGTCCGTGTACACGTGCAGATCGACACATGCTGACCCCCATGAGTGGTGGTAGTGACCATCGCATCCTGGAGAGCAGCGGTACTCACCAAGTTCGTAGAGAACGAGGGGAGGTGAAGACCTGAGAGTGAACCGGACGGAACCGCCGGACACGGGAGAACACTGGAGGAACGGGCAAGAAGTGGGCCCCCTGAGGGGTCAGCCAACCTGACCGGTATAGAAGCAGAGAGAGGAGTGCGAAAGAAACATCGGGAAGCACCCGAGTGAAGCGTAAAGGTGTGCAAGGCCTCAGCAGGCGCAGTACCAGGGAGAGCAGACTCACTAGCACCTAGAGCAGCAGCCTCTATACCTGGGTCAGGTGGCACACACAAGTAACAGTCACCCTCAGCACTAACAGTCAAGGCATACATAGCAGCAAGGATAGCATCATAGTCAAGATCAAAGATAGCAACTCAAGACCTAAGCAGCTCTGCCCAGCGGGGCCGCTCGGCCTCGTCACCAAACTCTGCGCGCCAAGCGTCGTCTAGGCGGGAGAAGCAGCGGTGCTGAGTGTGAGGCTTCCCGCATGTCTGACCAGCACGGTCACCCGTGCGAATGACATACGAGCAGCTAACACTACCCCCAGACGCCCCACGCTGAGCAAACCACTCACGAAGCTGCTGGGGCGAAGGGGTCTTGCTCCGACGCTGCTCCTGCTGCCTCTGGCCACCGCGAACCTCCCCTCTGAACAGCTCCACCCTGACTACCACCACTCCCATCGCCGCCACGACCGCCACCTCCACCGCCCCCACCGTTACCGCCACCAAAGCCCCCACTCCCGCCACCACTCCCACCGCTGCCACCACCTCCGCTACCTCCACCACCTCCACTGCCGCCACCACCACCACCCTCGCTGCCCCCTCCACCACTCCTGCCACCCTTGCCCTTACTGCTGCGGCGCTTCCCACCTTTAGCAGAAGCAGCCCCGACATCCTCAGTACCAAGGACGTCAACAGCAGCAGCAGAAGCGTAGGAGGGGGCAAGGAGGGAGGGGGAGCATGCCTCAAAGAAGGGAGTGCGAGGAGTGCCACGAGCAGCACCTACAACGACTACGCTAGTCTCTACTACAAGGAGGTGCTTCTCAAGCAGGTCGACAGTGAGGTCGGTGGGGTCAAGTGCGAGAAAGTGGTCCTTGATTGCGCGAAGAGAGTCAGGGAGGTGGGTGATTATGAAGTAGAGAGTGATGTACATTGGGGGGGGGGGTTTCCTGTCTAGGAACTCGGCTGGAAGGGCAGAGCGGTAGCGAGCGTCGCTAGTGCGAAGGTGGGTGATGAGGTCCTCGAATGTGGCAAAGGCGGACAGCTCGGGAAACAGGTAGGGCAGTAGAAGACGGCCTAGAGCAGCAGTGGCAGGGGAGGAGTAACGGGCGACTACAGCGCCGTACAGTGCTTTAGCAGTCTTGTGCTGTCCGAAGTGAGCGCATTCGGCTAACGGCAGGTGGTTGCGAACGGCTAAGCGAGCAGCAGCGTCACGGGTAAGCCACTGTGAGCGAGTCGCACTGTCAGCTGTGGCGGGAGGGGCGAGAGAGGCTCCAGACGTGTGGTCAAACAACGAAACGCTGTCTCTAGAATCGCTCAGTAGGTACAGCTGTAAGTCGTCGAGCCACGTATCGAACTGAATCGGACGGCCCTCATGATCGAAGCTGAGTACACAGAGAGAAGCCATAGCAGGCAGAACACGGTGGCGTGTGGCCAGCAGAGCAGCACGCAGGGAGGGCGGTGTTAGAGCACGAGGGAAGCGCGCAGGGCAGAGCAGGGCGGTGCACAGCAAGTCGGGCATTAGCCGGGCGGCGCAAGCAGCAGGGCTGGCAGCAGCCGGGCAGCGCACGCAGCAGGGCGGGCAGCAGCCGGGCGGTGCAAGGGCTGCAGAGGAGGCGGCAAGCGGGCCGCAAGGGGCGGCGAGCGGGCTGCAAGTGGCGGCGCGCAGGCTGCAAGAGGGGCGGCTTGCGGGCTGCAAGGGGCGGCAAGCGGGCCGCAGGCGGGCAGCGAGCGGGCTGCAGGCGTGTAGCGAGCTGGCTGCAGGGGCGGCGAGCGGGCTGCAGACAGGCGGCAAGCGGGCTGCAGGGGTGGCGAGCTGGCCGCAGGTAGGCGGCGAGCGGGCTGCAGGGGCGGCTAGCGGGCCGCGAGCAAGCGTCGAGCAGGCGGCAGGGGCGGCGAGCGAGCCGCAGGCAGGCGGCGAGCAAGCTGCAGGGGCGGCGAGCGGGCCGTAGGGGCAGCAAGCGGGCTCTAGTGGTGGCGAGCGGGCCGCGAGCAAGCGGTGAGCGGGCGGCAGGGGCGGCGAGCAAGCCGCAGGCGGGCGGCGAGCGGGCCGCAAGGGCGGCGAGCGGGCCTTAGGGGCGGCGAGCGGGCCGCAAGGGCGGCGAGCGGGCCTAGGGGCGGCGGGCGGGCCGGAAGCGGGCGGCGCGCGGGCTGCAGGAGCGGCGCGCGGGCCTCAAGGAAGTGGCGAGCGGGATGCAAGGGCAGCGCGTTGGCTGCAGGGGCGGCTCGTGGGCTGCTAGGGGCGACGCGACGAGCTGCTAGGGGCGGTGCCGCGGCCAGCAGGGCGGCGCGTCAGTAGGGTAGGGCGGCAGGGCAGTTAATGGGGCCGCCCTGTGGTGGGCCCTAAAAACTTTTCGGTCCTACGGAAGGACCTGCTCTTAAACCATGTCAAACGAATGAACGAGAATTGATGCGTTGAACAGAGGTTTGGTACAAGTACTAACCCTAATTGGGTTGTACCCCTTATGGGCTACCCCG